CAGGTGGCCCAGCGACTCCCCGGACAGAGCCGTGAGGTTGCAGCGCTCCAGGGTCAGCTCCTCCAGGGCCAGCAGCCCCGCGAAGGCGCGGCGCGAGATGAACACCAGGTCGTTGTCACCCACCTCCAGCCGGCGCAGGCTGTGCAGGTCCTGGAACGTGTAGTCCAGCAGGATGACCAGCTTGTTCTCGCTCAGGTCCAGCAACGTGAGGTTGTCCAGGCGCGTGAAGACCCCGGGCGGGATGAGCTTCAGCTGGTTGCCACGGAGACGCAGGACGCGCAGGCGCGGCAGGTTGGCGAAGGCGCCGGGCTCCACGTGCGCGATGGCGTTCTCGCTCAGGTCCAGCTCCTCCAGCGCGGGCAGCGCGGCCAGGTCGCCCGGGTTCAGGCAGCGGATGCGGTTGCGGCTGAGCTCCAGCAGGCGCGTCTCGGCCGGGATGCCTTCGGGCACGGCGGTCAGGCGGCGGCGCGTGCAGGCCACGGCGCGGGTCTGCGCGGTGCACTCGCAGCGGGCCGGGCAGCCTCCAGCCGGGGGCGGTGCCGCAGGCAGCAGGAGCAGGGGCAGGCTCAGGACGCACAGCCAGCAGGTCATGGTGCGGAGCGTGGGCCTAGGGCCGCGCCACCATCCTCCTGCGCACCTGCGGGCGGGCGAGGAGCGGGCAGCGTTAGCACCGTTAGCACCGGGTTCCCCTCCGCGGCGCCTCCGCACCCAGCCCACCCCTAACCCGCCCCAGCACAGCGGCTGGCGCCTGTAATCCCAGCATTTTGGGAGGCTGAGATGGAATAATTGCTTGAGTTCAAGAGTTCCAGACCAGCCTGCCCAACATAGCAAGACTCCCATCTGCAAAAAAATAAAAGATGAGCCGCATGTGGTGGTGTAGGCCTGTGGTCCCAGTTAGGAGGCTGAGGCAGGAGGATCACTTGGGCCCAGGAGGTGGAGGCTGCTGCAGTGAGCTATGCTCGTGCCACTGCACTCCAGCCTGGGCAACACAGTGAGACCCCTGTCTCTACAAAAAATAATAATAATAATAAAAATTAGCTGGTTTGCACGTAATTGTGAAATATTAAGAAGTTTACCCAGGCATGGTGGCCTGCACCTGTGGTCCCAGCTACTCAGGAGGCTGAGCCAGGAGGATTCCTAGAGCCCGGGGGTCAAGGCCACAGTGAGTTGTGATTGTGCCACTGCGCTCCAGCCTGGGAGACAAGAGGGACAGAGGAAGACCCCCCCCCCAAAAAAAAAAAGCAGCACGATGATCCACCGTGTGGCTGCAATTCCAATCTCCTGGAGTTTTGTTTTGTTTTTGCTTGTTTGTTT